GAAATGAAACGTCTGGCTCCGAAAGACGCTAAATTACGCATCTCCGCACCCCATGAACGTCTCTATTCGACGTGGATTGGTGGCTCAATCCTTGCCTCTTTGGACACCTTCAAGCGCATGTGGATCTCTAAACGCGAATACGAAAGCGAAGGTGCAAACATTCTGCATAGGAAGTTCCTGTGATAAAGCCAAACTTTGAGAGCACCGCCGCCGTCGCCACACTGCACTGCCTGTCCACTCGGTGCATTCTCTCTTTATTTTGTGCCCTTCGCTCTGGCGTGTTGTCCTCTGCCCTCTCCAAGACCACCTCTGGTTGGTCGTCTGCCCGTCTCTACAAGTCCTTTCATTATCATCATCATCATTATCATCACCTGTTTGCCTCTGTCGGAAGTGGGAGTAAAGTCAGAGTTGGTGTATTTTCCACAAAGTCTCCTTATTTCAGTGTGTGTGCGTTCTATCCTTCCATTCCATTTTTAATGCATCATGGTGAGGTCGAGGTAGTTTCGGAGAGGGCTATCACCTTTTTCCGGCCGACATTCCCCCATAAACGCTTAAACTCCTGAAACAGCCTTTCAGTTTTACCTCATATCTCCGCTCCCCCCGCCTTCCCCTTTTCCAACGCTGTCTACGAACCCCATCCTGTTCTGAACTGCGATCGCCGTTTGCTACGACGGAGATTACGTTGTTTAACCTAAAAATTCGCCAGTCCTCTGCCCCCTCCGCATGGTCCTCCTCATACCTTATGTATTTTTCAAGCAAAAGAATAAATGATATTGGGGGTTTGAGACGAGTATCTATCGGAGAGCTTCGTTTTAGAACTACCATCCCTTGCAAATAGAAGCGAACATGCGAGTCCTAGAAAGTAATTGAGAAGAGAAGCATTCGATCACAGGGACAGCCATAGAATCTTCTTCTGCTTCTAACTAATATACCTGATGCTAACTGGAAGCCTATTAAGGTGTTTCGTTTTTATGACACAACTCGAGCAACAACAGCTACTATATTGTGGTCCATGCGTTTTCTAGAAATTAATATGAGTCATGTACATACTCAGGTCTTGCGGTTGTCGCGTCTGGT